AAAAAAGTTTTATCGCAAATCATGTACCAACGAACAATCAGCAATTTATATAATTATATTAAAACAGAAATAACTTTACCGTTTCATATTTTGATGTTAACGATTCTTTAAAGGATTTAGTTTAAAATCTTATATAGAAAATTTATCTTACTTTACATATTATTGAATCAAATCAATGATTGCAATACTGTGAAAATACGTAGAAGTGCAAACTAGATTTGCGTAAAATTACACAGTTTCCATCTTAATGAACATATTATGTTGTATAAAATTGCAGTTAAAGAATGATGCATCAAATATTTTTCTGATATCCGTACTTAATAATTATTTTCTGAGATAGATTCTTTGATTACATCATACATTTACACCAATATAAATATATAATGTAGGTAAAAATCTCTTTATTATTTACTTATTGACTTTATCGTTGTTTTTTAAATACTTTAATATTTTTGAAAATATATGTAATAATTTTTTTGATTAAAGATTATTGTTTTAAGCGATTAAACGTGTTGGATAACATCAATTAATTCATCTATCATAAACAGAAGTTTATTATATTTTTTTCTTACACTTTGTATACATGATTTCGCGATAAATAAATTGCCTTCCACATTATCAACAATTTGTTATTCACGATACATTCTTGTTTGAATGATCGTATTTGTGCTTCTCATGTAATTTTCTCATATGCATGTTGAAAATGAATTAATAAAATATGCATAGTATATTTAACGCAATTACTACCTTTATTTCAATCGAATAATCAAAATTGTTCTGAGAAATAATTGCCTCTTTGCATGTCGAATTTAGATTGACAAATGTTTTTTAAAAGACAGATTAAAATTATTTAAATTAAGAATTATAATAATATACATAATAACATTCGGCGAATTAAAATTATTATTGCACAGCGTTTCGAAATCGTTCTATTTTGTCAGTGCATATGAATAAGCACTTTAATAATTCGGAACGATTGCTTCCGGGCTTTGCGCAAAAATTAATAACTTCTTTTGTGTACCAAATTTTTGTTCAAATTTGTGTCAAATTTCTATTATGTATGCACATAATTTTAATTCCCGTATTGTTATTTTTTTTTAATTTTTTAATTTCTTTAATTAAATAAAATTAAAAAAATTATCATATAATATGTATATAGTTATTACGTTGTATCTTGTAGAAACGTTTCCTTGTGCATTCTGTTCTTTTTTTAAAAATATACAAGATAATATCGGATATATTGATATATAGTATATGTTATAACGAATTTAGCGAGATAATTAAAATTAATTGTGCAATCGTCTACATTAATAGCAGAATAATCAGATCAATCTTTTGAGATTTTGTTAAGAAACACAAAAGCAAAAAGATATTTTGATTTTATTACAAGTATATATTCTGCATTTACACCTGAATTTCATAACCTTAATATAGAATCTAAAGCAAAAATTTAATACAGAATTATTTAATTTTTGACAATTAGAAATTCATATGTGAGAACGATAAATATTGAAGAATTTGACTGATTTAATTATTACAAAGTATATACTAATATGAAATAATGTGTCATAAAATTTCGCGTTTTTGTATTGTGGTCTTTTTTTTTCATCACGTTATCGAAATCTCATCAAAATTGCAATTGTGTGTGTGTGTGTGTGTGTGTGTGTGTATGAGTAGGTGTGTTTGTGACTGTTTGTGTGTATGTGTTCCCTAGAATTAAAATTATTATTGCACAGCGTTTCGTAATAGTTTCATTTTGTCAATCGTATGAAGCACTTTAATAATTAATAATTAGGAACAACTGCTTCCGGGTTTTGCGCAAGAATTAATAACTTCTATTGTGTATAAAATTTCTCTCGTCAAATTTTTATTATGCACATAATTTTACAAGGATAGAGAATGTATCGCTGCAAAGAGCCAAATATAATACTTAGAAATTCGCTAAGAGAAGAGAGGAATAATCTCTAAATTGAGATTTAAATTCCACTTACCTTTTTACCCTCCTAAAACTGATGTAGACGAGAAAAATATATCGATCCGAAAAAGTCGGCTGAATCGGGAAACGAACTCGAGACCTTTCGCTAATTGGGCGACTGCTCTTTTCTCTTGCAGCGGTACATTCTCTATCTTCTTTATTTACGATAAGAGCGTTCTAGCCATATTATTTGTCACATAATTTTAATTTGCGAGTTTTTAGTTTTAAAAAAAATGTTTTAGTTTAATTAAGTAAAATTGAATAAAATTATTATATAAAAGCAAACAATGGCGTCCGCGCAGTGCTCCATTGTCTATATTTATGTAATAATTAAATTTGATTGTATTTTAATTAATGAAATAAAAAAGTGTTGTCAAGCATACGTAAATGTGTATAATTTTATAATAGTAGATAGACAGCATGTGTGCGTGATTTCTCTCAAAACTATGGAAGACTCGTCGCTCTCGATAGTTTCATTTTCTCTCTTGTAGAAACACGTTTCCTTGTGCATTCTGCTCTTCTTTTAGAAATACAGATAATATCGGATTTATTGATATATAGTATATGTTATAACGAATTTAGCGAGATAATTAAAAATCAATCGTGCAATCGTCTACATTAATAGCAGAATAATCAGATCAATGTTTCGAGATTTTGTTAAGAAACACAAAAGCAAAAAGATATTTTGATTTTATTACAAGTGTATATTCTGCATTTAACACCTGAATTTCATAAATTTAATATAAAATTTAAAGCAAAAATTTAATACAAAATTATTTAATTTTTGACAATTAAAAATCCATATGTGAGAATTGATAAATACTGAAGAATTTGACTGATTTAATTATTTAATTATTACAAAGTATATATTAATATAAAATAATGTGTCATAAAAAATTTGCGTTTTTGTATTGTGGACTTTTCCTTTTCATCACGTTATCGAAATCTCAGCAAAATTGCACCAACAATGAAGAGGAAGGTCATAATTTGACAGTACAATACGAAATAGATATGAATTCTACAACATTTTCTAAGAACAAGATATAAACACTGCAATATGATTTGCATACAAAATTAACCAGCAAAACGCGATATGGAATGTAAAATGAATTTACCAATATTTCCATGAATAACGATCGCGTTGATTCTATACTATACAGGGTGTCCGGTGACTAACGGATTAACGATTACAAATGGATTCTTTGGTCAATTTGGGAACGTTTTTTCCTCAGCGAAATGTCGAAAAAGGTCATCATTTTATACAACTTTCCAATATTTGTCATTATGTATCTTTATAACTAAGCCTCAAATTAAAATTTTATTATAGTAAATTCTACCTAAAATTAACTGAAGAATGTAATTATGTTAGACTTTAACTCCAAAACGTTTAGTTTTCAAAAAACCCATTTTTTTCAATCGCTTACAACTCGAAAATTATTGACTTCTCAACATTTTTTACTCACATTTTTTACTTTCAACATTGCTAAGGAAAAATCATCTTCAAATTGGCCAGAGAATCAGCCCTTAATCATTGGTCCGTTAGTTACCGGACACCCTGTATAAAATAAGCAAGCGTTCTGTTGACAATCATGAGGATGAAGACGAAATTCCGATAAACTCTCACATCAATTTAACAATGTCAATCATAAAGAAAACTTTACATTACAGGAAGTTTATGAAAATCTGCTTGAAAAGAATGATTCCGTGTCGAATAAAGTTTTTCAAAATTCCACTAACAATAAGTTATAAAAATTATACTAATATTATAAATTTTTATTACAATTCATATTATTAAGAATAAACATATTTTTATTTGATATAAGTATAACAACTTATAGTAATATCATGCAACTTTTGTAGCAGTTTTCTAAAGTTTTACAAATATTGAAAATTGAAAATAATATTAGCCTACAATTAACAATATTATAAATATTTATGTCATTGAATGTAACATAATCTCATTTAATTTGAAAAAGAAACTAAATAATATAATATGCTTTTGCTACGAAATCCAAAAATATGGATGAATTATAATTATTAATTTTAAACATAAAGATCAGCATAAATAAACATGACTTTAATTTTTAAATAAAATTAAAGATCGGTCATATCAGTGTAACTTCATGTTTGTCCGGAAGAAATCATCTTCACTTGTATGACTATTTCTTTTTACGTAGTAATAATGCTCGACAATGTTGCATTAGATCCGTGTCAAGCTTTTGGCAACAAACCGTAGGCGAATCGCTTGAATAACATGCACTTGATCTATTTTCTCCACACAAAGATGATAACGGTGCATAGATTCTGCATAATGTCCAACAAATTAATAATATACCAGTTATAATTTGATACATTTCCAGAAAATTCATCCGCTGTTATCATAAGACATCGTATGCCTATTACGATAAACAGCACAATAAATATCTTCAGATATAGATTAAACCTGCAAACAAATATATAATATTAATCATTCTTGTGAATAAATAATGCATGAAATTGATTTAATATATAATAAGCTAAGTAAGAAATTTTTAAAATTTTATTTTTGTAAAATACAGGTACATTTATTAATTTGATTTTAGTTATTAAATGTCATTTTGTTTAGAATTGAATAGGTTCTCGAAGAAACGCGTTAAGTGATATATTCTTGAAAATATTACAAAATTAAAAAGTAAATCGGCGAATAGAAAAGACGTCGTCTACGAATAATAATCTATGGTATTTATAATCTGAATTTATATTTAATATCGTTTTAAATCTGATTTTGATTTAAAAATTCATTTACCCAATCAAGCTCGAACTTAATATTAAATATAAGCTCGGACTATTAATTATTAATACCGGCCTATTTGTTTCTTTTATAAAAAAATGCGAATCAATCAATCATGCGACGCTGTTTGCATAAATGTTAATAAGAGTAACATAAATCTCATTAATAATATATAGATTATCATGTCTCAATGCAATCGATATCTCAGTACATACCATTTTTTATTATCGTTATAGCACTTGCCCTCCGAAATTTTCAGACTATGATTCGTATCCTTTTTGTAACGCGCAATTTTTAATGCCGTAGATATAGAGAAACAAATGCAAAAGATCATGCATATACTTCTGAGCCCATGATAATACAACATATACGGACCAGTCTCTGTAAGTATAAAATATCATAAGTTTTTATACTGTTTCTCACAATACTAGAATGCTATAGTATTAATAAAGTTATTTTCACTTACCAATGAACCAGCAATATAAATAAAATTCCGGTCGCAAAATCGGTGGTACATTTACATACTCGGAAAGAATATCCATGCTGACACAGAAAATAGCAAGCATAAAGGGACATCCCCACGCAAAGATCGTATAATATATCAACTTTCTTTTTTCTCGTTGTCTGACGTTTCTTTGTAACGAACATAATTTTCTGCAATTTACACAACATATTTAACAAACAATTGACAACAGAAATTAGAATGTAAAACGTCAAAATCAAGTCACTATATCATACTATAGAGCAAAGATTCAACTTGAAGAATCCATTCTTAAAATTGCTGTACTATTATTTGAACGGTGTTATATGAACGATTAAAGTAAAAATGACATTTTCTCTGCAATTTGCGATAACTTTATAAGTAAAAATCGACATATACATTTTAAAAAACAATTTTGCAGAGAGAAATTCAAGCTGTAATATGGAAATGTCATAAAATTTAAAAAATTTTCTTGTGCACGCGATACGTCTACAAAGTGAGAATAAAATTTTCTATTTCTTTATGTTTCTCGTTTTTTGTATATAAAAAATATCAGAATTGAAGAAAATGCAGAAAGCTAAAAACCATTGAAAGCAGAGATTTTAAGCTTTAAAACACTTTTTAAAATATAAATGCTCATTATTCGAAACAAAGTTACAACTATTTAAAGTTTGCCTATTTTTGGACAATTGTTTTTCTTTTTATACCTTAATTATTTAAAGGAGTGTATATTTACATAACTATTATGCAGACACGACAATGGTATTAAAATTTTTATTGACTTTAAAAGACAAATTTTTAATAAAAAATCTACTTTTATTTTGTGAAAACATACCGTGTATTGCTTTATTTTATAAATTAATATGAATTAAAAGAGAAAAAAGTTAAATATCAAGATATCAGAAATTTTTCAAATTTATTTGTGCATGCGACACGTCTACAAAGTAAAAAAATTTTCCATTTTGTTATGTTTCTCGTCTTTCGTATATAAAAAATATTAGAATTGAAAAGAATGAAAAAAGCTGTATAATTATTAAAAAGATTTCAAGATTTAAATTTTTTCTTAAAATTTAAATTCTTATTATTCGAAACAAAGTTACAACTATTTAAAATTTGCCTATCTTTGAACAATTGTTCTTTTTTGATGCTTTAATTATTATAAGGCGTATATTTACATAACTATTATACAGACACGACAATAGTACTTTAAATTTTTATTTACTTTTGAGAGACGAATTTTTGATATAAAATCTATTTTTATTTTGTAAAAAGTTATTGTGTACTGCTTTATTTTATAAATTAAAAGAGAAAAAAGTCAAATCAAAATATTATTGCATTATATCAAATTATTAGATTGTGTTATAATATTTATACATATTTAAATTAAATATATAATATGCTTATTATATCTAACACGCCATTTTTACTTTTAAAAAATTAACCGTTTAAAAATCTGTAATTAATTATTAAAAATCTCGAAGAAAAACTATTTATTTAAAATTATAATTTGAACCTATTATCTTTATCCTCTAACTTATAATGTCCTAAGTCAATTATAATTGTTTTTTCACATACCAACAAAATATATAAGAAAATTCGATTAATACAGTATTTTGCATGTTATATATTCTCTATCTTTATCTTTAAACCGATATATGTAAAATTAAAAAAAAAAATTTTTAAAGATAATTAAAAGATTAAAAATAAGTAGTAATAATATAGAATATTTTCCAACTTACCTGAATGTGCACCACATATCAAAGCTCATTATACTTAACCAAAAGAAACTCGCCATAAAGCAAAAGTATCTTAAAATGGCTGTAAAAATAAATCAAATTAAAGGCTGTAATAATTACTAATAAATAACAATATACAATATTATTAATGTAAATATAAATGTAATATGTAATTTGCTCTTATAGTTGAGAAATAAATAAGGACAGGTAATAAGCCAAAAGAGCAACGTGAAGTATAATAAATATAATTTAATCGCAAATACAATTTTATTTAATAAAAAACTTTTTATCTTTTAATAAAGGAACTTTGTATTTGCGACTTAATTACTTTGCGTTACTCTTCTGATCTATTTCCTGCTCCTTATTTATTTCTATATTATTAATAAATAATAATATATTACATAATAAAATATATATGTATATAATAAATACTATTATCAATAAATAATAATATATTATTTATCATCACTCGTTAAAATTTCAGGATCTCAAAGTTATCATATTAATGTTTCTCCATTAGAATAGATTTCTTTCAACTATCTACACTAAATTCTATAATAATATTTACGTAATAAATACTGCTAATATCAAATTAAACATGTTCGATTCAATATGTAGTTCTGCAAAATTCAAAAACACAAAGAAATATATCTATTTGAGACGAATAACTTATATTAATAATATACTAAAATGTATTTAAATAAAATTTAAATGTCATTCACTGTTTTGCATTTTTAAAATTTTTACAAATAATATATTAATAATATATTCAAATAATTATTAAAATTATTAGTTAATATTTAATATGCAAATATACATTAAATATCTGACAAATATAAATGCGCTACATTGATTGCATACTTTATGATTTAGATATATACTCTACCTATTGTAACGCAAACGGGATACTGTAAATCCAATTTGATAAAAATATACACAAAGTCAATTCCGTATGCAACAGTCAGGGCACCGCTATAATTGCGCAATATGAAGCCGTGTTTATTTCGGAGTTCTGGCAATATGGAATACACCAGAAATACTGACCCCAAAAGTAATATAGATACTATATCGGCACTCATTTTCAACATATCGTCAGAATTCAAAAGCTCATCATTATCAGTTATCTCCTTGATTTTGTCATAAGTTTCGGAACAGTAGATCACTTGGAATTCACTCCCGTTGACGACGGCGAGACAATATGATGACGATTCAACAAATATTTCATAATAAGGTAAATATATAGAACCGTTGGTAAAAATCTTATAATCGTACTGAAAACCTTCAGGAAGCAGATAGTAATTTTCTTGGCAAGGGAATCCCGAATCATAAAAGCCCAGATCAAACAATTCGTTCACTCTCTCTTTGCTCTGCGTCGAATCGTTCGTGTATACCTTTGGAAAAATGATTTCTAATTCTTCAGGACTGCAATTGTCATCAACCAGACGATAGCCAAGCCAACAGCAGAACCGAATGCAAGTATCATTATGACACATTTCGTTTGAGACGAAATTTAACACTTTACTATTATTGTTGAAGATGTAATCCAATTTGACGTCAAAAGAATAATTGAATGTCAATTCAAAATCCCCGGCATGAAATTTCTTTTATGATTGACATATGTCGAATTCGTATTAGATTTCATCGGTTTTTGCTCATCATCTTTATTCTGCACTGAATGCTTGTAACGTTTATGTTGAATCAAATCATTATCCTCGCGTTTATTATTCATATGAAATTCATGCTGCATTTCTTCATTTTGTGTATTGTTCATCAAATTTTTATGCAAATCATGTCGCAATGTTATTATCTCGTATCGCATTGTCAAATTATCATCTCTGTTGGTAAAACTTTGCTGCGATTTCGATAACGAAATAACGAGGAAAAGCACGGAAAACACAAATGCAAACTTTTTTCCACTCATATTTTATATGAGAATATAGTTTAGAATAATTAGATAATCAAATATAGTGTTCATATAATTTTTCATGTAAGTTTTAAATTCGCAATAATTAAAACATGTCACATTAAATTTATGCATACCTTTGCTGTTCTATTAGTTTCAATAAAAATGTGTCAAGTGCAAAATATAATAAAATTAAATTATCTTATTTTGTTTCTCAGCAAAATCTCGAAATGTTGATTTGATTTTGGCACCATTACTATTATTATTGGTGATTGCACGTCTTGAATTTTAATTATCTCATTAGATAAAGTCAGTACTATATCACTGTATTCGGCTTTTTCTCGTTAGAAGAATGCACAAGATACATGTTTCTGCGCGGGAGAGAAGCTGAGACTACCAAGCACGACGAGTCGTCGATAGATTTGCAAAAAACTGTCGGTCTACTATACTACTGACGAGGTACTGTTACGTCAGTGCTGATATCATGGTAAAGGTAGGTTTCAGGTAACTCTATTAATGTTACGCATTTTAAATATGTCTGAAACAGTATGTAATTTTATGTTATATTATTCTTACAAAAACAGTGCCGTATCGGTTGTATTTTCACGGGATCAGATCTGTCTGTTTAATTATTACCATTTGCTTATTCATCTCTGCGGCACTGAACATCAAACGCAACGAAAAGGACACAAACCTGCGTCTATCAGATTTGTAAAGCAAGCGATATAATGACAATAAAGAATGGTGAGTATTTTGAAATTTTTGTAACATTTATTGTTAGTGAAAATCTTTTATTATTTTAATGAGATTTATGTAGACATACAATATTTATGTCAATGTCTCTGCCGACAATATTCTATACTTGCTTGATTCGCATTCCAGATGAAGAAAGCAAGCATTTTCACTGTGCTTATTGTTTTCTTTGTTTTCTTTTTTTGTTATGTATAATTATATAATCTATAAGAAAAAAAGCATGTATTGCGTTAACTTGAATCGTGTCTTTTCAAATAGTCTGTAATTTTCGAAATGTTGCAATAAATAGTGAAAATAAAGTTAACAAATAGGCATTTATTTTATAAAGAAAATTATATTTTTGAAGAATTTATTTAAACTACTGTTTCTCGTTTTCCTTTTTAAAGATTGTAATTAATTTCTTTATTTTTCAATTTTATAATTTGGTATATAAGAATTTATTATTTTTATTGAAAAATGACTAACTGTTAATATTTGTTTGTAAATAAATTTGTTTGTAAATATTAATATTTGTTTGTAAATAAAAAATAATGATTCACAATCTTTTTGTCAAATGTATGCAATGAAAATTGTATAAGCATATTTAATTTTTAACAAATTTAAATTTGTGCGCTGGAAGATGTACGAAGAATTCAGTACGTTAAGAGTTTGACAATTGATTAAAATAAAATTAAAGAAAATTATTATATAAAAGCAGACAATGTCGTGCGCGAGCTTGTGTTTTCCAGTATATGTTATGTAACTAGTGCGTTATCTTCTACTAATTGTTATATGTATATAACAATTTTATAATACAATTTGTATTTTATTACAAGTTGTATTTTATAATAGTAGGCAGACAATTGCCTCAGTTTTTATGTGGGTATTGAGTTCCGGCCGCTTTTCGAGTTTCCTAGCTGTGCTCAGTCGAGTGTGAAGATTGACGATTTATTATATTTTTATTAATTTATTTTACGCGAATTATTTAATTCTGATAATACATAAAAACGTTATACATAAAAAATTGCGATATATGTTTATAAATTAATCTTTCAAGTTTTTTTGCGAGACTAGAACGCTTATGATTATTATTGCTCGATATCTTTGCGCAGATGAATTAATAATGCTAAGAACTTTTGCTTACTTCTTGCAATCTCTATCTTCATTATAAAAATAGCGATTTTAATGTTTATACACAATTATATTTATCGATTACATTTTATACAATCATCTTATACAATCATATAATAAGACGTAATGTTGAAAATGAATTAATAAAATATGTACATTTAACGCAATTACTACCTTATATTAAATTAAATTATCAAAATTGCTTTGAGAAACAATTGCATTTTTACACGCCGAACTCAGATTGTCAAACGTTTTTTAAAAGATAAATTAAATTAATTTAAAATAAGAATTGAAATAATATACATAATAAAATTCGCGAAATTAAAATTATTATTGCACAGCGTTTCGAAATCGTTTCATTTTGTCAATCGTATGAAGACTTTAATAATTAGATAGAACGATTCCTTCCGGGCTTTGCGCAAGAATTAATAACTTATATTGTGTACATAATTTTTTTCGTCAAATTTCTATTATGCACATAATTTTAATTCCCGAGTTTTTATTTCTTTTTTATTTTTTTATTTTATTTATTTAAATAATATTGAATAAAATCATTATATGAAAGCAAATCGTCATGGATTATGTTTCCGAGTATATACCAAAAAACTTAAGATCATATTTCGAAGTTGGTGCATATTGCTGGTATCACTGACGAGGTATAGTACCTCGTAAGTAACTATACTATATAGGACTATACACATATAGCTTTTACATACTATATACAAAAAAAATAAAAAAAATCATTGAAACTACTACTGACGATAGATCGACCAATCCAGCAGCAAAATAAAAATATTCTTGATTGTTTTTTAAACATTGAAGAACTCATTTTCTCTTGCATGACTATTTCTTTTGACATAAGAATGCTCGAAAATGTTGCATTCGATCCGTGTCAAGCATTTGGCGACAAACCGAAACCGAATCGCTTGAATAACATGCGCTTGATTCTTTTTTTACACACAAATACGATAAAGACGAATAGACTCTGCATAATGTCCAGCAAATTAACAACATACCATATAATATGGAAAATTGATACATTTTTAAATATTTCGAACGTTGTCATCACGGACCATTTTATACCCATCACGACAAACAGCATAATAAGTAGCTTCAGATACAAATTAAACCTGCAAACAAATATATATTTATATTTGGATATTTTATAAATAAAAATAATACTATTTATTAATTAGGAGTTTAATTATTTATCAAATTTACTATTTATTAAAAATGCTATTTATTAATATTATAAATATAAGCCCTAATAATAAATATAAATTATAGGAACAAAAGCCATAAAGAAATTTATTTATTTTTTACTCTACATTGACGTATTAATTACCACGCCTGGTTCTTAATGAAGAAGCGTGGTAATTAATACGCTAATAGAAAGTGAAAATATTAAATTAATTCTTTAATCAGTTATCACTCTACATTAGCGTATTAATTACCACGCCTGGCTTTTATAATTGGTCCTTGTTCGTCTATAATTTATAACTATTTATTAAATTATTTTTTTACAAAATGGAATGAATTACAATCCTAAAAGAGAAGAGAAAAAGAAATAGTTGTTTTAAAAAAATTTTTGAAAATAAAATTTTTTTTATTGTCTGTCTTACACTTTAAATTTATATTTCTTTATGAAATTAAATGTATCTTTAACTTTATTCTTTCATTATTTTCCACATTTCGAGAATTGCAGACCTTCTCGAAAACAAAAACAGAATTGAAGTTACAACGATATATTTTTCCTTTTTTACAAATTATGTACGTTAAAAAAAAAATAGAATTCGAGAAAATACTAAGCACCGAAAAGATGTTTACTTCAAACTAATTATCCCTTCCTTTCATCAGAATTGCAGATCAATCCATATGTAATGTAATATTGTTGGCAGAAATATTGGCAAAAATAACATATTGGATTGGCTCATTAACAAACTACATAGAAGACTATCACACATCGATGCAAAAATAATACAGACCATTTTTTATTATCATTATACCGTTTGCTTTCCGAATCTGTCAGACGAACATCCGTATCCTTTTTGTAACGTTTAATTTTCTGTGCCGTAGAAATGGATAAGCAAACGCTACTAATAATGCAGACACTTTTGAGCCCGTAATAATACAACATAAACGCATCTCTTCCTGTAAGTATAAAATGTCATGAATTTTTATACTGTTTCCCATACAGCACAAAATATTTTTAAAATCTTTTAAAAATATTTCTTAAAAGATAAAATAATTCACAAAAATATTTTTAAAATGTTTTTATGTCCGCTTTTTCATGTTTAAAAAATATTTTTGAATATAAATTTAAACTAATATTTCAAAAATATGTATGAAATATTTAAGAAAATATTATCTGAGCAATAAAGAAGAACATTTTTAATAATATTTTTAAGCGTTTTTGAAAATATTATGAAAAATGTTACCACAAAACATTGTTTAAATTATTTTAAAATATTCCTAAAACCATTTTAAAATGTTTTTGTGCAATATTTTATAGAAATATTTAGAATATTTTTTGAAAACATTCCTAATATTCTGTGTTGTGTGTGGGTTCTCACAATACATTAAAACGCTATAGCATTGATAAAGTTATCTTCACTTACCATGGAACCAGCAATCTCCTAAATGAAATTCCGGTCGCAAAATCGATGGTACATACTCGGAAAGAAAATCCATGCTGACACAGAAAACAGCAAACATAAAGGGACATCCCCACGCAAAGATTGTATAATAAATCAACTTTCTTTTTTCTCGTTGTTTGACGTTTTTTTGTAACGAACAGAATCCTCTGCAATTTACACAACATATTTAACAAACAATAGATAAAAGAAATCAGAATGTAAAAGCGTTAAAATAATGTGTCTTTGATCGAGTCACTTTATCACCCTATAGAGCAATATACCAACACAATACTACCAACACAATATATAAAAAAATTTGATTAATACAGAATTTTGCATATTATTATCTATCTTTATCTTTAAACCGATATATGATCCGATAAAAATCGAAAATGAAGCAATTTTATACAGGTAAATGAAAGGCAAGTTTAAAATAAGTAGTATAATATGGAATATTTTTCCAACTTACCTGAATGTGCACCACATATCAAAGCTTATCATAATTAGCCAAAAGAAACCCGCCAAGAAACAAAAGTAATTTAAGAAAGCTGCAAAAATGAATAAAAATACAGACTGTATTAATAAATAATAATATATTATTTATATAAATATAAATGTAATATGTAATTTGCACTTTTAGTTGAAATATATAAGGAGCAAGAAATAAGTAATTTAGATATATATTCTACCTATTGTAACGCAAACAGAATACGGTATATCACCCGTTCTGATCATAATATTCACAATGTTAATGCTGTATGCAACAGTCAGGGCACCGCTGTAATTGCGCAACATAAAGCCGTGTACATTTCGGAGTTCTGGCAATATGGAATACACCAGAAATACTGACCCCAAAAGTAATATAGATACTATTTGGAAACTCAGATATTTAATTTGTATGTTATAAATCAAGGGCTCATTATCAGTTATCTCCTTGATCTTGTCATGATAAGTTTTGGAACAGATGGTTACTTCGAACTCATTCTCGTCGACGACGGCGAGACAATATGATGTCGATTCAACAAGTATTTCATAATAAGGTAAATATGTAGAACCGTTGGTAAAAATCTTATAATCGTACTGAAAACCTTCGGGAAGCAGAACGTGATTATCCTGGCACGAATCATAAATGGTCAGCTGAAACAATTCGTTCACTTTCTTTTCGCTCTGCGTCGAATCGTTCGTGTATACTTTTGGAAAAATGTATTCAATTTCTTCAAAAATGCAGTTGCCATCAACCAGACGATCGCCAAGAGAACAGCAGAGTCGAATGCAAGTATCATTATGACACATTTCGTTTGGGACAATGTTAGTTTCATTAGCATCTTTGCTGGAATTTTTGAAGACTTCAAGTGACATAGAATCATTTTGTTTCAATTACATTTTCATAAACTTTCTGAGCCGTGAAATTCTTTTTATGATTGACATATGTCGAATTCGTGCTCTGTGATTTTTGCTCATCACCGTTATTCTGCAGTGAATGCTTGTTCAGTTTAAGTTGAATCAAATCATTATCCTCGCGTTTATTCATATGAAATTCATGCTGCATTTTGTCATTTTGTGTATTATTTATCAAATTTTTATGCAAATCATATCGCAGTGTTATTATTTTGTCGTTATAATTTGTTGTAGAATCCGTATTTATCTCGTATCGTATCGTCAAATTATCATTTCTGTTGGTAAAACTTTGCTGCGATTTCGATAACGAAATAACGAGGAGAAGCACGGAACACACAATTGCAAACTTTTTTCCACTCATTATTTCACATAAGAATATAGTTTAGAATAATTAGATAATCAAATTTAGTGTTCATATAATTTTTCATGTAAGTTTTACATTCGCATTAATTAAAACAAGTCACATTAAATTTATGCACACGTTTGCTTTTCTATTAATTTCAATAAAATGTGTTAAGTGCAAAATATAATAAAATTATGTTATCTCATTTTGTTTCTCAGCAAAATCTCGAAATGTCGATTTGATTTTAGCACTATATGACTATTAATATTGATGATTGCACGTCTTGAATTTTAATTATTTCATTAGATAAAGTCAGTACTATTTTACTGTATTCGGCTTTTTCTCGTTAGAAGAATGCACAAGATACATGTTTCTGCGCGGGAGAGAAGCTGAGACTACCGAGCACGACGAGTCGTCGATAGGTTTGCAAGAAACTGTCGGTCTACTATACTACTGACGAGGTACTGTTACGTCAGTGCTGGTATCATGGTAAAGGTACGTTTCAGGTAACTCTATTAATGTTACGCATTTTAAATATGTCTGAAACAGTATGTAATTTTATGTTATATCATTCTTACAAAAACAGTGCCGTATCTGTTGTATTTTTACGGGATCAGAACTGTCTGTCTAATTATTATTATTTGCTTATCCATCTCTGCGGCACTGAACATCAAACGCAACGAAAAGGATACAAATCTGCGTCTATTAGATTTGGAAAGCAAGCGATATAATGACAATAAGGAATGGTGAGTATTTTGAAATTTTTGTAACATTTATTGTTAGTGAACATCTTTTATTATCTTAATGAGATTTATGCAGACATATTTATGTCAATGTCTCTGCCGACAATATCCCATACTCGCTTGACTCACATTCCAGTTGAAGAAAGCAGGCATTTTTACTGTGCTTATTGTTTTTTTATATTTTATTATGTATAATTATATAATTTATAAGAAAAGAAAAACATTTATTACTTTAACGTTAATCGTATCTTTTCAAAATAGTCTGTACTTTTCGAAATGTCACAATACATAGTGAGAATAAAGTTATTGAATATGCATTTATTATATAAAGAAAATTACATTTTTTAAAAATTTATTTAAACTATTGTTTCTCTTTTCTTTTTTTTAAAGATTGATATATAATTTATTTCTTTATTTTTCAATTTTATAATTTGATATATAGAATTTATTATTTTTATTGAAAGATAACTGAATATTAATATATATTTGTTTGCAGGTTTAATCTATATATGAAATTTTTTATCGCGTTATTTTCTCTTAATGGCCATAAATCGGATTGTGTATACAATATCATGGATACTTAATTCTCCACAAAAATACTCTAGTTATTTTATTTCTTTGTTGTTTACCGTGCAGAATTTCTGCGCTTTTATCGTATTTGTATGAAAAAAGAAGATTAAGTTGATGATATTAAAACGATTCAGAATGCGGGATGAATAAATCGTGGACTTGACTACCATGTCAAAGCTGCAGAAAAGATCGAATTCTTGCAGAGAAGAAAATTGTTACGCGAAAGTTTCGTTCGATGGAATTAAATTCTAATAATGCAGTTATGTTAAAAAAAAGTTTTATCGCAAATCAGGCACCAACGAACAATCAGCAATTTAATATAATTATAATAAAACAGAAATAACTTTACCGTTTTATATTTTAATGTTATGTTTTTTTAAAGGATTTAGTTTAAAATCTTATATAGAAAATTTATCTTACTTTACATATTATTGAATCAAATCAATGATTGCAATACTGTGAAAAATACGTAGAAGTGCAAACTAGATTTGCGTAAAATTACACAGTTTCCATCTTAATAAACATATTATGTTGTATAAAGCGCAGTTAAAGAATGATGCATAAAAAATTTTCCTGATGTCCGTACCTGAATAATTATTTTTCTGAGATAGATTCTTTGATTACATCATACATTTACACCAATATAAATATATAATGTATGAAAAACTTTTCATTATTTACTCATTGACTTCATCGTTGTTTTTAATACTTTAATATTTTTGAAATATATGTAATAGTTTTATTGATTGAAGATTATGTTTTAAAGCGATTAAACGTGTTGGATAACATCAATTAATCCATTTATTATGAGCAGAAGTTTATTAATATTTTTTCTTACATTTTGTATACATGATTTCGCGATAAATAAATTGCCTTCCAACATTATCAACGATTTGTTATTCACGATACATATTCTTTTTAATATTTGTAATTGTGCTTCTCATGTAATTTTCTCATATGCATGTTGAAAGTAAATTAATAAAATATGCATAGTATATTTAACGCAATTACTTTCTTTATTTCAATCGAATAATTAAAATTGCTGTGAGAAATAACTGCATCTTTGCACGTCGAATTTAGATTGTTAAATGTTTTTTAAAAAATAGATTAAAATTATTTATAAATTAAGAATTATAATAATATACATAATAAAATTCGGCGAATTAAAATTATTATTGCACAGTGTTTCAAAATCGTTCTATTTTGTCAATGCATATGAAGCACTTTAATAATTCGGAACGATTGCTTCCGGGCTTTGCGTAAGAATTAATAATTTCTTTTGTGTACAAAATTTTTGTTCGTCAAATTTCTATTATGTATGCACATAATTTTAATTCTCGTATTTTTATTTCTTTTTTATTTCTTTATTTTTTTAATTAAATAAAATTAAATAAAATTGTCATATAATATGTATATAGTTATTAGTAGATTTCGGATTATATGCAAATTGCATTATATGCGCAATTGTTGTTATTTTTGCATATTCTACAAGGAGATTAATAATGTGAATAAATTATAATTTTTTTAATTAATAACATTAATTATTGAAACTATTACAATTTTTTTCACATTATCAATGCTGTCATAGAATGTGCAAAAAGTAACAATTATGCAATTTGCGTATAATTCGAAGTCTAGTTCTTAGTGTATAATTTGATAACAGTATACAGACAGAGTGTGTGTGTGTGTGTATGTGTGTGTGTGTGTGTGTGTGTGTGTGTGTGTGTGTGTGTGTGTGTGTGTGTGTGTGTGTGTGTGTGTGTGAATGAGTGGGTGTGTTTGTGACTGTTTTGTGTGTGTGTTTCCTTGCAAAGTTATCAAAGACTTGCCGTTCTCGGCAGTTTTACTTCTTCCTTTATACAAGCATTTGTTACTTGTGTAGTCTTCTTTCATAAAGAGACGTCAAAGCCGAAGTTAGTGATATATAATATATTATCATATATCATTAAGTTTTATCAAATCTAGCGAGATAATTAAAAGTGAACCGCGTAATCGTCTACTTTAACAGTGCTAGAATAAAATCAGATCAATATTTCGAAATTTTATTGACAAACACAAAAAAAAGAATAAATTGATTTTGTTATATGTGTAAATCATGCACTTAACATTTTTTAAATTAGTACATTTAATACAAAAGCTAAGATATACATAAATCTAATATGAAATTTTCAATGATTTAAAATTCGAAATTTATGTGAGAATTATATATATATAATGTGAATATTAAAATAAGTTTGATTAAATAATCTAATTACTTTGACGTATATCTTCGTGTAAAATAATGAATGAAAAAAATCTTACGTTTTTGTGTTGCGGATTTTGTCTCCTCATCACTTCATCGAAATCTCAGCAAAATTGCATCAACAACGAAGAGGAAGGTCGTAATTTGACAGTTCGATACGAGATAGATACAGATTTTACAAGAATTTATAAGAACGAGATAAAAACACTGCAACATGATTTGTATGAAAAGTTATTCAGCAATATGCGATATGAAATGCCGAATGAAATTAATTCCATGAATGACAATGACGATGATGTTGATCTGTTATTATATAAACTAAGCAAGCGTTCTGTTCAAAATCCTAAGGATGAAGACGAAATTCCGGCAAACTCTCCCACCAATTTGACAAATGTCAAACATGAAAAAAACTCTACGTCACCGAAAGTTGACGAAAACTTGTTCGGAAAGAATAATTCCATGTCGATGAATAAAGTCTTTGGAAATTCCACTAAGAATAGTAATGCAAGAAACATCGTCCCATACGAAACTTGCCATAATATTACTTGCATTCTGTTCTGCTGTCCCTTTGGCTATAGCCAAAGGACGAATGACAGCCAATGCATTCCAGCAGGAAAAATGAAATTCGATTTACCGTATGTGTACGAATATGCGAACGATTCAATGCAAAACGAAAGTAAGAGAGTGAACGAATTGTTTCCCTTAACCATCTATGATCCGTGTTTGCGAACGCAACGTATCGTGGTAGACGAGGGTCATCAGTACGATTATAAGATTTTCACCGATGGATCTATTTATTTAGCTTATTATCAAACATTATTTAAATCGACGTCATATTGTCTCTCCGTCTTCTTGAACAGAGGGAAAGAGTTCGAAGTGAATTTTTGTTATGACACTTATCATCAAGTCGTTAGGAACGGGATGAAATACACACCTGAGATCCAGTCGATGTTTTACGCATTTAACATATATGCAGGCTTGCATGTAGTGTGCATATTATTTATGGTACTAGTATTTCTAGTGTATTCCATATTGCCAGAACTGCGAAATGTACATGGATTTATGTTGCGCAATTACAGCGCAGTTTCAATCGTAGCACTGATAATTAACATAGTGAAGCTTATGCATACAATGCAGAAATACCATATCCCGCCTGTGTTACAATTGGTACAGTATTTCTAATAAATTATAACAATCTAACAATAAATTATTAATTTAATTATTTAATTATTATTAATTTAATATTTATTATTGAAAAATTTAATTTAATTAATTAATTTAATTAAATTTTAATGCACTTTAATTATAACTAATCCGAATGTGCCTTAATATATATACATATATATTTATATATATTATATAACTAACTATATAACTATATATATTTATTATTTTTAACTATAATATTGTAATAACTATATCTATAATATTATTATTTTTTAAAAAATTAATATTATATTACCATATATTTGTATATATTACATACATATATGTATAAATACTATTTATCTTATATTAGTACTACCAGTATTCATTAAATATTGGTATTATATAGTGCAAAAAATTAGACTAAATTTATTTTTCAATGGAAATCACACACAAAAACATGAAAATTTTTAGTTCCTGTATTTTATCGCACGCTCTTTGATAAAATATTATTTATTATAGCCTTTGATTAAAATATTATTTATTATTATAGCCTTTATTTTTATTCATTTTTACAGCCTTTTTAGAATATTACTTTCTTATGTCGACTTTTTTCTGGCTAAGTGCCATGAGCTTTAATATGTGGTGGACATTCAGGTGAATTACAAAGTATTTTATATTTAACTTGTCTCTAATTCGAATTTATCCTTACAAAAATAATACAAGATAATTTTTTTTAACATAGATATTTTTTGTCTCTGAAAACTAAATAAAAATTTAGATTATAGAATAAGTTTTTTGAGAAAAGTTACGATAAAAAACAAGCACTAATTTAACTTTTTACATTCAGATTTCTCAGTTAAATATGACATGTAAATTGCAGAAAATTCTCTTCGTTACAAAAAAAGGTCAAAAAAAAAACTGAAAATAAAAGTTACTGTATTATGGGATTTTCGCGTACGGTGGTCCATTCATACTTGCTATTCTTTGTGTCATCGTTGTGGATTTTATTTCCGTGTACCTGCCAAGAAATTTCCGACCAGAATTTAAATTAGGACTTTGCTGGTATTATGCTAAACGTACGTCTCAAATAATACTATTAATGCTATAGCATTTTAATATATTGTGAAAAACAGTATAAGATTTTATGACATATACGTACAGGGAAGCCAGCGTTTCTATTGTATTTCTACGGGATTAAAACTGTCTGTAATATTAGTAGCGTTTGCTTATCTATCTCTGCGGCACTGAAAATCAGACGCTATGAAAAGAATACAGGTCTTTGTCTGACAGATTCGGAAAGCAGGCGATATAATGACAATAAGAAATGGTGAGTATTTTGACATTTTTGCATTGCTGCGTGTAATAATTAATCTTTTTATTAGTGAGATTTATGCAGATATATTTTTGTCAATGTCTCTTCTGACAACATTACATATTCGATTGAATTTGCATTCAAGATGAAGAAGAATGATTATTTAAAAGCAATACATTTTTAATGTGTTATAATTCTTCTCTTTTTGTTTCCTTTTTCTTTTTCATGTAATTATTTAAACTATAAAAAAAAAATTTATTGCTTGTAATTTGAATCGTGTTTTATCGAAAAAATCTATAATTCTCGAAATGTTGTAGATTAGTGAGCATAAAGTTTCATGAATACAATTATTTAATAAAAATTACATTATTAAAGAATTTTTTTTAACAACTATTTTTTGTGTCTCTTTTTTAAGATTATAATTTATTTAATCATTTTTTAGTTCAATAATTTGATGTATAGAATTTATTATTTTTATTGAAACATATCCAAATATAATATATACATATGTGTTTGCAGGTTTAATCTATATATGAAGTTATTTATTGTGCTGTTTATAGTGTTGGGCATAAATTGGATTGTGCTTACACTGACATGGGTGTTTGTAAAAATAATGAATATTTACCTCGCTTATTTTATTGCTTCGTTAGATATTATTACGAGTTTCTGCACCTTTATCATATTTGTATGGAAAAGAAGACCAAGGAGATGTTACTGAAACGATTCGGATTCAACACAAATGCATCACGCACTTAACTATACTATGTCAGAAGTGTTTATGCAGGAAAAATCGAATTCTTGCAGAGAAGAAAATTGTCACGCGAAAGGTTCGTCCGATAAAACTGAATTCTAATATTGCAATGTGTAAAAAAAGTTATATCGCAGTTTATAGACAAACAATTAATTAATTTTAATTTAATACACTAATAAAATATAATATTTTACATTATAATATAATGAACTTGACAAATTAATTTCTCGGATTTCAATGTATATATTTCTGCATCATTAAATATGCAGAATATC